ATAGCATTATTGAAATGGCACGTTGCAATAGGGACATTTTTGAAAACCTGTTTTTAAGTAACATGCAAACAATCAAGGAAATGATCTTGTGTGCTTCTTTGCTGTCTGATAGAATGCCAACTAAAACTTTGACTATTGTTGGTACATATCTCTTCAACTCTAGCCAAATACTCTCCCAGCTAAAATGCCTTAAGGCTTCCACGTCATCCATTAAAATTGAAGCTTGGTCCAGGGAACAAATATCTTTCATTTCCTTTCTAATAACTAGTGTAAGTGAAGCTATAGTTTCATTTTGTGTCCGATCTGATGTAGCAATTGATGATGAAAGAGAATTATAACTTTTGTTGAGTATCCTTCTCACATTCAAACTCGACCATGGTGATTTGACCTGAATCCTTTTTTTGCTTGATGGAAAATCAATGTCCACCTATCATGTGATAAGATGCATAAATTATGAATATAAACTAGTATTAACAAATGGTGGCTTACAGCAACTCCAACAGAACCATCTGATCTCTTTCTCTTGCCTAAAACTGAGCTGTCTTTAGCACTTGCTGCGGGTGTTGTTGGACTGGATTCTTCATTCTCACTTGAAGCGGCAACATCATCAGATTCAGCAGGTGGAATTAGTGATGCAGCTTCTGCTCGAGCTTCTGGTAATAGTCCACTGTTCTTTACAAAGCAAAGGATGTTATTCTTCAGATCTGTAACTCTTTGTAAAAGTACTGGTAAATCCATTATAGTTCCTATGCACCTGTGACAGACCCAAAGCCGCTCGTCGTGATTCACCGTGGCTGTGCCGCATCAGAGAACTTTCTATTATAATAAAATAAGCACAGGCTATCAAGGATGCTTAAGGCATGCTCAGACTTCTTCCCAAAGATGAGTTTTCTTTTCTTTTTACCTGCACCTTTCTTCACATCGGCCTTATAAAACAAGCAACTCATAGCTAGCTAGCGATAGCACTTCTCCACAGTCTCAAGCAGCTCTTGTCTAAGTGATGATGAATAATGACGCATGCTATAAATAAAACACGTGGTTCCGGTCGGGCCACCGGAAGTCTGGTGGCAACAAAAATGAGTGAGCAGTGCTCATTCCACCAGACCCTTCCCCCGCCGTCCAATTATCAAAAAGGGGGATGGGTCTGGCTACGCGAGACTAAAGTAAGATTGAGAAGGCTGTGGAGTGATATAGCAAGAATTATCCTCAAGAGAAAGCTCCTAGTTGAATATTAGTAGGTCTAGAGAGCTTGATATGTTTTTTTTATTTTTAAAATAAAAACATTATTTTTTGACTAAATGTAATGAGATGCAAATGATATTCATCGGAGTGATGCACACGATTCGTCATGGCGGCTTCTTTCATCTCAAGCAGAAGAACCCGTTTAGAACCTTCCAGAGTACCTAGAAACTCAAAATTGGTAAGGATTTTTGGAAGAACCTGTTATGCAGCTATACCAAGTTTCAATTTGCTAGCATTAGTGACAAAAAAGTTATAAGGGGTGGTGGTGGTTTCTTCTCAACTGAAACCGACTATAATATGCCGGACAAAAGCTAATAAGAATTTCCATGGAAACAGTTTAGATAGTTGCTATGGCAATTGACCACGTGTTTGTACAATTACAGTGTTCAACAGCTAATCAGCTATATCGTAGCAGCTTTACTGGAGCCATTCAGCTCTCGTATCCCATTATATTCTTGTATGGACCACTACCTTCATGCTCTTCACTGAAAAATTAGTGCTGGTCCGTCGGTCATGATTGTAAACTACACCCAAGTCAATAAACACGTGTTTAATGACTTGGGTGTAGTTTATAATCATGACCAACCGACCAGTATCAAAGAGCTTGAAGGTAGTGGTCCATACAAGAATATAACGGGATAAGAGAGCTGAATGGCTCCACTAAAGCTGCTAAGAATAGCAGATTAGCTGCTTAACACTCTAATTGTATAAACACATGGTCAATTGCCATAGCAACTATCTAAACCGTTTCCATGGAAATTCTTTTTGGCATTTATTGTCCTGTGGTATAGTTTTGAAATCATACATGTAAAATAATTATTGTTTTTCTTTGTTTGGTGAGGCCAATGCACCAATGGTGTCTCATTGGGCGTGTGGCTCACGCTGGCTTATGCTATTTGGCTTTTGTAAGGCTCTCGCCCTCGGTCTTGGTCCTTGTAAAAGCCATAGTACTTGCTGGCATGTTGTAAATGTTAAATATACATGTATGTGCACATGTATATATTGAAAGACAAGGAAATGTTTATTTGATATCTCACTTTTGAGGAAGACTGATTTATATTGTCCATGTATGTATTAATAATAGTCATTATGATATTAGAACTTTTGCTTATATAACTAGTTACTTTTTCTAGGCTAAGTCTGGTGACATAACAGTTCATTATAATGAAGGGGATCAACTGCAGCTATCAGCCAAACCTTCTGATGGTATAATTTTTTCAGATCATGCTACTGGTAAAACTACCAAGTAAGTATTTTTGAAACTTCTTTTACTGAAAGTAGATTATTAGTTAGGGAGAGTGTTTAATTGTTAATCTGGAGCTGAAACATTACTGCAAAATTTTGTCCTGTGAATTTTTCAGCATTCCTGCATACTGGTGTGGCAAAAAGTGGCTGTTGGGCTTGCTCAACAAGATTTCCTGGCCGTTTTGTTTTTTTTTACTGTGACAGCACTCAAGGAGCAATCTAAAATACTCTAGTAACTATGATATCTACAGCTTCTTAAAGTGTTCTCCTCTGGTCTTCATGCAAAATTTTACATGTATAGCCACATAGGTATAGCCACATCTGTATAGTACATAGGTATAGCCACATCTGACATAACTTTTGACTATGTGGTGATGTTTTACCAGTTAGACACTCTCCCTAAATAATTATCTACTCTTGCTTTTGCACTGTACCATCTACTTTTTGATATAGTGAAAACGAGTGTGCAACCTGTTTTTATATAATTATCTCTTTCTTTGCTTTTAATCTTTTTTTCCTATTTTAAATGTGACAATAGTTGGCTTATTGTAGGATAGGGATTGACTTTTTAAATTGATTGCAGTTTAATAATTGTAAAAAAGCTTTATATCTTGGCAATATGCTTTGCATAGCCTTATTGATGGCTTTGATGAATTCTCCGTCACTGAGCAATTCTTCTGACATGTTTAAAGTACACAATGATTTGACAAACATACCATCACTGAACTATAGTAATTTGTTGGGGGTGCTGAGTAAAATGTGATCTCATGGATAAGCCACCACCACATTAAGTCTAGGCTTTGGTACCACAATGAAAAATAAGTTATTATTTTTTTAATGATTGTTGCTATTGTTTTGTCTAGAAACTTACTTTTGAAATGCCACTGATGATAGCTTGTTTCTTGCTGTTGTACACTAGTCTTTCAGTTGACAACTCAATTCTTGTCAAAGGGAGTATGTCCACACAAATATCACAAGTCTATACTCATGTTGTGAAATTGTGTGAACCAACAAGCTGTAGTATTTATTAATGCTCTCCACCATTTCTAACTTTTTGAAGATAGGACTAGTCTGTTTTTTGTCAATGACGTAACACTGTCTTCTTTTCTTTTTATGTAAAACCATTACATTGCCATGTTTGTTCTTTTTGAGCTCTTGGAAATTTGGAGTTAGAGCTATGAGCTGGGTACTTTGGTATTGGTTAACGGAAGTTTACGTTTATCCACTTTGATTGAAATAATGTTTTATATTGCTATTTACTATTAACTGGCAAATGTAATTGTTTGAAGTCACGAGCACAAGCATTATAACAATATAAGTCTAAGGATAAGCGTAAGCATTTGCATATAATTTTTGGCTTAAGTCATAAGCACAAGCAGTTTTTACTGCTTAAGCATATGTAGCACCATTGCTTAAATGTAACTGAAGTATTATTAAGCATTAAATGTGACCTGTATGACAAAACCATGTTAATTGCTTCAAAAATGAAAATTGAGTTTTATGCTTTTTAAGATAAACATAATTTTTTCTTGCCTTTGGTTTTTGCCCTGTCATTTTGACCTATCCAATGCCAAGTTATGATTATTAAACAAAAAGTCTTTTGAAATGAGATAATTTATGGTTAAAACAGGGATGCATTGCAGCATGTAACCTGAAGATGGACACTTTTTAATTTGAACAAACTCAGTTGCATCTTGGAAAGGAAGTAAAACTTAAACCATTTCTGCCAATAATCTTTTTTTGTAAGGGGCTAGCTGTTGTACCTTCAATTATGACAAATTACCTCTTAATGCATTGAGATTGACTGCTACATTGCCAATTGAGAATTTCACCAATTAAGGCTTGCAGAACTGCTTTAAGTCCTGGGATGAGAGAAATCTGTATAGATATAAGAATCAGCACTGATTTTACAAAAGGATTGTGGTGGCACATTGTGGAAGGTGCAGGGAGAGCTGTACCAGATCTAGATATAGGGCACTGGTTCTAATTTACCTAAATCAAACTATGTCATACAGGCTGCTTTTTTATTTTTATGTTTTGCATCTTTCTTTAGTTTAGGAGTCCCTTAATAGCTTAGGAGTTTTTAAGGCTGTTATTTATTTTAGAGAATGCCCTAGTTTTGTTACGAGTGTATTAGGAGTCCCCCATTGTTTGGTGTAGTGTTTTGGGTTTTGTTTTTTTTGTTATATTAGAGTGTCACCTTGTTATGTTAGGGGTCTTTGAGGCTGGTTTAAATTTTAATCTCTGTTCTAGAACTTCCTCCATTTTAGGAATTTATGATAAAAACTAAGAGCCAACTTGCATCAATATGCATGCACTTAAGATTGCTTGACTGAGGAAAACGGGATGCTGTTTCTTTGAATAATTTGCAACAGTACTGGCTCTGTAGATGCAGTATTTTTAAAATATGGATGCCGAATTTCTTTTCATTTTGATGAATAAATAAATATAAGGGTGAGGGCATGCATTCCAGGTGTCTTGTTACCCCACTATTATTATTCAAACCCTGCAAGATCAAAATTGCTGTAAAAGATAAATCACAAATTTTTAAGTGTTACTTTTTCTATCCTAAGGTTATGCTTTTGTCCTATTTAATGATAACATTTTTCTGTTTCCATTGTTTGTATAGGCTTGTATAGTGTGTATCTAGATGGTTTTTATTGGAGAAAGGCATTTATTTTGGAATGCATAATTGTTAATATTTACAATATACATCACTAATTTGTACCTTGTTTACATTTTTTAGGTACAAAAAACAGGATGATCTACCACCTAAACTAATAACAAAATTAAAAGAGTTTACTTCAATTTTAGATGAACTTAAAAGTTGAAGTTTATTATTATTAATTTTGATTTTATTGAATACTGTAAATCAGTTTAGCTGTATAATTGAGTAGAATTGATGACACTTGTACATGTGTATATGAACAGTGGAGCTAGCTGGCTAGTCTGGCCACCCAGACCCAACCCCTGCGGGAGAAGGGTCTGGTACGGCAATGCTTAACAAGACTTTGTGCAGACGGAAGCCAAAAATGTAGTTATTTCTTAATTTTAATAATTTTTAGTAATAGTTAAAAGCACGTGTTAATGATAATAAAGGATGCTTTCGAGTGCTATGATCAAAGTTCTCAGGTGAATTAGCTATTTGCCATTAAAAGAGGAACAAAATGACTTGCTTAACATGAGTCCGAATCGTGTTCCGTCATTTCAACATTTCTTGCCTCGAACCATCGAGTGAATAAGTCCCCGACTAAGACTAGGAAGGACAGAAACCCTAGTTAGTGTGTCTAGAGCTCTTCTTATGGCTAGTCTCGCTAGCCAGACCATTCCCCAGCCTACAGTCGGGGTGGACGGCCGGGAAGGGTCTGGTACACTGCTTGATGTAGTCTTGTTCTTACGTCCAGAAATGGACGTGACCAATCAGATTCAGTTATCCATGACATGTGACCACAAGTCACATTAAATATTAATTATCAAAATGGCGACTTTTCAAGAGTTGTGGAGAGAATGCTGAAAAGCAAGCTATAGAGTGGTAGCATCCAGCGTCTTATTGATTCTGGAGAGGCATCTTAGTGAAAGGTATCCGGGTAATATGCTACAAGTTGGTCTGGATGCCATGAAACATGCATTTCGGTTCAATTTTATTGTTTAATTTAATTTAATTTAATCATGATTTTACAAGATGCGAAAACAAAAACTAGATAGTATAACAAAGAAGAGAGAGAGAGCAAAGAACAGGCACCTTGAAGGGCTGCCAGTAAGTTCTACTGACACCCAACAAACAAAATAGAAGAAGTAAAATAAAATAAAATAGATAAAATAAAATAAAATATAATAACTTGGAACATGAAATAACTGAATCAGAGAGGAGAAATATACATACATATAGATCACAAAATGATTAGAAGTAATAATAGTGAC